AATATGGGTCGATTACAAATTTCAAACATACCTTTCATTTTAGCTATAAAATAAAACTCTTTAATTTTATCCACATTGATACTAATGCAAAATAAAGTTTCTATACATTAAACATAAATATAAACAGTAGACCACTAAATGAAGCCTAAGTTTCTAGCACAAATCACATTCTCTATAGGAAGTGTCATCCCAGTCGTTGTCTCTGAGTTGGTTGAGTTCCTCGTCGAAGATGGTAGTATGGGTCTGATAGATTCTACGCAGCGGTTGGTGATCTGGTTCATTATCTGTTTTGCAACAACACTGGCTGTGTCTGCGGCGTGGTTGTGTGGATGTCTTCCGATGTTTGCTGGTATGTTGTTTACTGTCGAGAGTGATGCTGAACAACCTGAGGTTGAACATCTCCAGAATGTTCTGTCGCCGTTTCTACGTGTTTGTCTGTAGATGAATCCATCATGGGAAACGTTCTGTCCGCCTCTTCTGTTCGTGATGAACTTAACGTTGATCTGAGCGTTTGCCATCTTGTAGTTGATGTATCAAAGCACACAATAACAGATAATAAGTTTAACTAATATATGACAATAATTATAAGAGAATTCACACAAATCTGAAAATACAAGTTTAACTTATATATCATAATAAATATATGATAATTCACACAAATTTGAAAAAAGTGCAAGTTTAACTAAAACAATGACAAATTCTAAATAAAAATTCACATTCACCGAGCAAAGAAGTTGATGTTTCAAAGTGCAGAGCGAAATATGATAATTCTCCAAAATGTGCTGTTGTTTTATACATTACCCACTTAACAGCTTGGGATTGGAACTCTAATAATAAATTTGTTTGATTCTGAAAACTGTTCTTAATATTAATTATTATAATTATTTATTATTATTTGTAATTATTAGCAGTTATTGATTATCTGATTAGTTATCAGAAGTTGATTTACCTGTGCAAGTTACCTGTACACCATTTCTGCAATAGACTATAACTCACTATCATCACAACTGACCACCTATGTAAACATGTTTTTTAAGCAGAGTTAGTGTTCAGGGAATCCACCAAATTTACCAGTAGAAAAGTCAATTTGGATACCTACATATTTAATTGTTTCTATAAATAAATGTTTTGTTGGAATTCAGATCTGCATTCCTGTTACTACAGTACGTTGTTACCCATCATGAATGAGACAATATATATATTTAGTACATAGTGTTTTTTCCTATTCACGTACAGTACATGTAGCTTTCAATTTTGTTTTCAAAATGAATTTACAGAAAAAGACTTATGATTCACTATCATGTACTAATTAATATAACGATGGATTTATATATTTTATGTAGATGTAATACTGTTATAACTATAATGGAACTTTAATGGTGATTATGTCTTTAAGACAAAGTATTATAAACTTTTAGCCACCAATACATGTACCATGGATCAAAGTCGGTGCATGTGCTAATAATTTAATACGTCATCACGATCTATAGTTATTATGCTATTTTCATAAAAGGTTCTGCTTAGCTCATTTTATGTATATGAATAGGTAACATCTAATATTCAAAGATTTATTGATTTATCGGGAGGGGAGAAAATCATAGTATGTATAAACAAATGAAAAGGCCAGACATAATATGATAAAGAAAATTAACTTGTGAACTGTAGTTAACTCCAGTGCACATTGATGTGAACTCTAGTGCACATCGATGTGAACTCCAGTTCACTTCAGTGTTAACTCCAGTGCACAATGATATGAAATCCAGTGCACAAGCTAGTGAACTGGAATTCTCTTTTCTTGTTAACTCCAGTGCACTAGGCTACCAAGTCAAGTCAATCTGATTAAAATCATCTGTTACATGGCTTCGTTAACTTCGTACTACGTTCAGGCGGAGCACTGTAACAGATGATTTTAATCAGATTGAAGTTAAGTTTGCTCCCAACTGTTCATAATACCATACATGCATACACAGCAATACATGCATACACAGCAATACATGCATGCACACAAACATATATACACATATGCATGCATGCACACATATACCCATGCCTAAGAATGTACAAGTATATCCATCCGTTCATACATACATAAACATACATACATACATAAACATACACAAGCAAACAAAAACAAAAACATGTAAACACATAGCTATATTTCATGTGATTTATTTTTAATTATATTTCATTTGATTTCTTTTTAATTTTATAAGATTATATGTCAATCATCAGTTTCATCTCACGGCATTTGCATATAGAATATCATATACATATATATATACATATATAATTTAGAATATTCAATACTATATGTAAATATATACTTAATTGTTATATATATTATATAGTACTTGAGTATTATCGGGTATAAGCTAGGTTTATTCCTTTCTTTACCCATAAAGGATTTAAAATAACATATTATATGCTTGTAACATTTTTAGCTTTAGGGTATGAAAATATTCAACCATGATTCCCATGTTTTTTCAAAGGTCTCAATTGCATCCCTTCCTTGGGCTATTACCTTGTCAATCTCATGTACATTAAATAAATATATTTTGAACTCAGTCATGCTAGGGTTTATTTTTTTTCTTGAGTTAAAGTAGATGGAGAATTTTGCATGAATCATGATGATATAAGTTGGAATGGATTTTTGGAATTCAGAAGTTTTACCAAAAAGTATAATATCTTCCTTTATTTCAAATGTTTGATCAGTTTTTAAGTATATCCATCTACGTATGTCCTGCCAGAAGTTATTTGTTATTTGACAATGATAAAAAAGGTGTTCTATAGTTTCTTTGCTTTCTTGGCATAAATTACATAAATTACATTGTTTGATTCCAATTATTTTCAAATAATGATTAAGTGGAAGTATTCTTGAAAGAAGCCTGAAAGTGAACCATTGAATGCTAATGTCTCTTGTTATTTTGAAAGGGAGAGAGAAACTCTGTGATAACCTTATATAAAATTTCCTTAAATATCACCCTATCATAATATATGAAAAAACATCCATTTATACTTTATTTAAAAATATTGTTTAGAGTTTAACCCTTCTAAAGATTTAATCAATATCTGTTGGACTATTATATGAATTGTGTGTATATAGGCGTTATTAAAAGATCAATACATGCATATGCAATGATATATATACCATAGTTGACTACTCATATAATGATATTTATACCATAGTTGACTTCTCATATAATGATATATATACCATAGTACACTTCTCAAATAATGATATTTATACCATAGTTCACTACTCATATAATGATATTTATACCATAGTTAACTACTTACTCCATATATTTTTCATATATATCATACGCTTACGGTGAAGGGTACCACATCATCAGTTTTAACCACAAAGAAGATTTCCACCCAGTTTTTGTTTCGATTGGTGTATCCCCCCTTGGACCAGCATAAAGGCATTTTTCTCGTTGTGTATAACTGCCCTGTACATTTTTTCATAGGTGTTGTGTCCCATTAATTTGACATTTTTTTTTTTTGCTTTCCTTTTTATAAATCCTGTATGGAAACATTTGTAAAGTTTGCGCTTTGTAATGTAAAGGTCTAGAGTTCGACCTTCTTCATTTTTCCTGTTTTCTTTAATTTGTAATTTTGTAAAATCTTAAATGTTTCGCATAGATACAATGGTAATAATATACTGTATACCGGGTAATTTTCGCTGTAGTTTCATTTTCACCTTATTCGTCCTTCATGATGAGGGCGAGTTTATCATAGCAGCGAAAATAAATAAACATAAAACACATAAATGAAATGTGAAGGGCGAAATTAACACTTGGCGAATATTGGTTTCTTGCGAGAAGGGCGAAAGTGTGACAGGGCGAACATTTCCTGGTTATTTAACTTGTTCGTACCCTTTACCTCAACTGAAAAGTCTACTTATGATTACGAAAGACACATATAACTTTTATCCATCGTTACAAATGTATGAAAAAATACCGTGTTATCAGTTTTTTAAAATTCTAATGAGGAAGTAATCAAAATATGTATTTACATGTACGACATTTTAGTCAACGATATAAAGGGATTCTGAGAAAAACAATAGGAAATTGTTATTTTCGTGAGCAATCGTAATTATTTTAATATAATAAGCATGTTTCCCTTCCTATAACATTTTACCTAAGACGAAATAAATTATATTTCACATTCTTTTTTCCCCAACGTGACAAAGATCAGTAATCGCATCAGTCAATCTTTATACAAATTGTACTTGTAAAAACCGAACAACATTTGTGTGATGGATTTGTTTTGTTCATCAACACTAAGCAGTATTTTTAACTCGGTTATAGCGCGGCCGTTTTCGTTTAAACGGCCAAACCGGCCGGACCACAATTGTTCGTTTATTATATAATGTCTGACCTGGTAATCTGATGCTGCTTTCAGGCGAGCCTTGACAAAGCCTTGCAAGGCCTACATAGACATTTGCAGGTCCGCCAGGATTTATATCCGAAATTGTTACATTTATAAACGGTCAAACCGGTTGTTCCGCATAAACGAACAGGCCCCAGCACTTATCTTACAGACATACATGTGTTTACATAAATCTGAAAGCAAGCTAACATCTTATAGTGTAATCCATGCAATAACGTGACATCGTGTGACGTTGTCAACTGCCATTATGTTCCCGTCGATAAACACAAACCGCAGTTTACCAAGATATGAAGCTACATTTGCCTCGCGTAGTCCATTTTACCTGCCAATCCAAACATCGAGACACAGCACCAACATTTGAAATATTCATTATGTTACAGTATGTAGCTAAAGATATAATAAATTTTAATGATGAAATAGGACAATAGTAGAATACGCATGAATATTAAATACAATGTTTTGTGTGCAAAAATAAGTGTTTATTTACGTTGACCAACAATTATACAATATTAACCTTTACATTAAATATTTATTCATCAGGCATGTCGAACTTGGAAATTTTTCGTTTAAATGTTTTAATATACACATTCGTTTCCTTGTTTCAGGGGAAAGCCTAGCTATGCGCTGAAGGGAACCCTTATCTTCGTGATATGTTGCTTTTTACTATATTCAGGATTATTCCTGGTTCAAAATATGTATATGAACACACCTCGTCCTTTGTATCCACCATTCATTGATAAGACATTTCCTGAGAGGATTCGAGTTTACTATTACAACAAGCCCGATTGGGTATCTGTGCATGAATTTGAAGGTTGTGAATATAAATGTGATATGACAGTAAACTCCAAATATAGTGCTTCTGCAAAAGCTGTGATATTTCATGGACCTGGATTGGGCAGGACAGCGCCTAAAAAGTCACGTGGTCAAATCTGGATCATGCATGGTTTGGAATCCCCACAACATTATTCGAATGACCTGTCAGAATGGAAAAACGTATTTAATTGGACGTTTACGTACAGAAGGGATTCAGATATTCTCCAAACGTATTCAGGTTTCATATCAGTTCCAACTAAAATTTCGATATCAAACATCACCGAATTGTGGAAAACTAAAGACAGGATAGCTGCTTGGATGGTATCACACTGTCATACCCACAGCAAGCGAGAAAAGTATGCAAATCTTTTGCGGAAAACCACTGACATTCACGTGTACGGTGGGTGTGGACAATTCAAATGTCCATCCTCTAATGCAGATAACTGTATGGGACTTCTTCAAAAGCACTACCGATATTACCTAGCTTTTGAAAATTCTCTCTGTTTAGATTATGTCACTGAAAAAGGTTTCAAAACATATGTTTACTCTCCTTCAACCATTCCAGTGATGAGAGGAGGTTCAAACTATTCCCTCTTTTTCCCTCCAGGGTCATATATCAATACAAACGATTTCAATACAGCGGAAAACCTAGGGAAAGCGATGAATGGAATTTCTACTGGAAAGAATAATTTCAGGAAGTTTTTTGCATGGAAACAAGCTATCACTGTTGACAAAACATTGCATCACAAGCAATGGTGCTCACTTTGTGAACGGATTCATCTGTCTGAAAACCACACAGGTTTGTATTCAAGTATTAAAAACTGGCTGTACGACAAACCGAGATCAGCGTGCAAAAGTCCTAAAGACCTAGGTTTGTAGAGACGTCGTTACTATGGAATTGAACTTGATTTTCTAACTTTAAATAAAAAGGTAATTTATCATATGTGTTTCTTTATTTTAAAAAAACCCAGCGGAAAATGGTCTACTGCTCACTCTGATTTAAGAACCGGGTCTTTCAGCAATAGTAAACTTAATGAAGCTACGTTTTGTATTTCCTAATATTGTTAGTATCATTACTTAGCTACTAGGACGCATATCAGCCTCTTCCCAGTATATTGAAGTTAAGGTAGCAACACCCGTCGTCCGACATTTAAAAAGGGTATTCAATGTGAAGGGTACTGTTAAAATATAATGATACTATTACCGTCGATCACCACTATTATGATTTATTTGATAAAGTTATGTTCTACAGAAGCACTACATCTTGGAACGTATTTGACAGTTACATCCGTCGAAACCTGAGTGTTTGAAATAACCCCGACTATCTCGATTATTCGCATCAAATTTGTGTTTTATTAAGCAGTAGATTCTTCTGGTGAATTTCTTAATCCCAACAATTCGAAATAAACTTAATGTCCACATCCTTTCACTTGTAAAATAGCACTGTTCATTATATACACATTTCAATCGTTTTATTTAAGGATTGAATATCTTTTTATTGAGCTTTATGGGGACATAAACCTCAATGGGACTCGAGTTCATATCAAATTTGTCTTAGGACACATTAAAGTATATACCCCATACACATCAACATAACAGGATTCAATTGTTCATGTGACGACATCACTCACTGTGTGACGTCATCCTGATAAGATATGTTGCTGTTTTGTATTAATAACAACGTAAAAACAAGTAAATAATCTGGGTTTTATTCATCTGAAACTTCTGGAAAAAGTAATTGAAAACAATATATAAAAGGGACTACTTCCTGCATTATTTGCTGACGTATTCATACGCCTTCTTGAAAGTTTTTGGTAGATATATTGAGCCCTAGGTTTTAAATTTACATTATTAAGGTGTTTTATGCAACCCTCCTTTTATTTCAACGGAAATTTAGACCAGTTTGGTTTGATTTTATATTGTTTAACGTCCTATTAACAGCTACGGTCCTTTAAGGACGTGCCACAATATGTGTTGCGTAAATAAGCGTGCATATGTGTATGCGTGCTGGAGACAGGGTATGTTAATGAACGTTTGTTGCGATAGCGCGGATCTGATGCTGACTTTATAGTGCTATTTTACTGAAATACCATGCCAAAGGCATCCAGCACAGCATTCCTCTCGGTTACATTATTTTACCCAAATGCTGAAAGTTATGCAGATAATAACAACTACAACTTTTTAAGGACTTTTGTATGTCCCGGCCTTAGGTGCATCACCTAGGCGAAAGTTCAATTTTAAAGTCAAAAGTGAGGTATTGCCAAGCAAGGCACTAGGAAATAAAAGATACAAAGATCCCAACTATTGCAATTGGTGCAGCCGATTGATTCTTTCTGGTCCGAAGTATTACCATTGAGTCCAGAAACGAAAGACGAAACAGCTGTATGATTATGTGCTTGGTAACTCGTTTTTGGCAAACTGTATTTATAATCCAATTTCATAATTTCAAACTCACGTTGATCCTCAATGAGTATAACAATTTATACATTGAATTATCTGGTGTTTATTTGATGACGTAACAGAACGGAACACCGCCTCATTGTGGTTACAGTCACTCCACTTCTTCATCACCATAAAGATCTGGTTCCTGAATTCATAACAAAGTAATTTTTTCAAGGCCATCTATAATCAGGTCTTGTTATAATATCATGGCTTTACGAGACTTTGTCTCATTGTCGGAACGTCAGTATGTTACCCTTGCATGTTTTCTTCGTTTTCGGGGTTTGGTTTGGTTTGGTTCGGTTTGGTTGAAAGGGTTTAACGTCCTATCAACAGCTAAGGACGTGCCTCCATGTGTGTTGTGTAAGCGTGCATGTGTGTATGTGTGCCGAAATATGGTATGTTGATGTACTTGCCTCCTTGTGATAGCGCGTATGTGATGCCGACTTTATTGTGTTATCTCACTGACCCTAAATGCCGAACGCTAAGCAGAGAATAACAACTACCATTTTCGTTTTTGAGGAAGAAAACATAGCCACCTATGTTGACAACGGGGATCCCCTTATCGCACTCACATACTAGTTAGTTCTAACGTAAATATTCAAGTATGTTTTCTCGTTGTCTTTGCATTTCTTGACTGCGTCATCAACTTTTCTTAGTCCAACACAATGCTTTTTTATAGTTATGTGAAATATTAGTAGACTCGGATACGAATCAAACGTCTGACCTGCAATCGAATGGCAATATCATATTGATCGTTCCCAATTTCTAACTGACACAACTTCTTGTGGTTTCTGCTCTTTCTACTATCGTATTTTGTCATAATAGAACTATCCAATCCCGTCTTTACTTTATTTTTTTTGGCGGGAGTTTCAGTGATGTGTAGTACCCTCTTCATGTGTTTGTATCTTTATAGGATTATCACAATCCGTCCTCATATTTTGACTGGGCTTTCGGTGATGATATATAGAATAAAAAATGTATTTATTTTAGAACAATTATGGCCCAGATGTTAGCGCGCGGAGGGTCTAAATGTGGGAGAAAAACCGGAGTACCCTGAGAAAACCCATGTGGTCGGGCAGGTGACCCCAGATCTTTTCACGTCCGATCGGGGAATCGAAGCCCGGCCACCTTGGTGAAAGGCAAGTGCGCTATCCACTGCACCACCCAACCACCCATAGAATACATCGTCACCAAATTTGTTTCTTCTTCTCAATGACTACATCGTTTTCAATTCATTAACATAACATTTACAAATTAATTACAATATACGCCTTTGGTGTATTGTATTCTAATAATATTTTATAACAAATTGAACAAAAGAACCCATTGTTCTTCATTTGTTAAACATCAACTTAGCGAGGTGTATACATGAATCGCTTTGTCAGTGTTTCTTTTGTCCGTCTGTCCATGCGTATTAAAAACCTTTTATTTAAGATATCTCATGACCCCTTAATACATCGAGCTCACATTTTCACCGAAGTATGGTTATATCGAGTTCTACACAAAATAGAATTTTGTGGTCAATGGTCAAGGCTTAAGGGTAAAATGCCAAAATACACAAGAGGCCCAGAGGGCTTTTATCGCTCACCTGGAAATGTTAGCAAAGTTGAAGTTATAATAGCCAGATGTTGCTGGTAAGTGTATTACATGGTTAGTCAGGGGTTATATTTATATGCAATTGGACAAAATCCTATTATTCCTAACGTAAATGGAGGATTTCGAAGAATTTGCTAGGTTTCCCATATAGGGCCCCGCCCCTTTGCCCCCAGGGGGGTCAGCCCATCGTTGATACAAAATGATGTCCCCTCCACCCTACCGGAAAAGGATATTAAAGCTATTCCTCTATATCTCTTATTGGGCTCCGCCTCTCTGACCCAAGGGGGTAAAGACCCCACCGTTTATACAAAATTGATTCCCCTTCACACTAGGGTGCTTCATCCAAAATTTAATCAAAACCCTGTCATTTCGTATCCTACAGAAGAAGAAGGAGTTTGAAGAATTTGCCTAGATGGCCCTGCCCTTCAGGCCCCAGGTGGTTCAAGCCCATCATTTATACGAAATTAATTTCCCTTCCAAATAGGATGCTACTGTTCAAATTTGGTCAAAATACCTTTATCCAAACGGAAGGAGAAGGATATTAAAGCTATTCCTCTATATCCCTTATAAGGCCCCGCCTCTCTGCCCCCAGGGAGGTCAGATACTCCGTTCATACAAAATTGATTCCCCTTCACTCAAGGGTGCGTCATACCAAATTTGGACAAAATCCTGTCATTCCTACAGAAAAAGAAGGATTTTGAAGAATTTGCTACATGTATGTTTCCCCTATTGGGCTCCTTTCCTATGCCCCCAGTCTAAATTAGAAGAAAATCCCTTAATCCCTACAGTAGAAGAAGGATTTTAAAGTTTTTACCTCTATTTCCTTTATTGGGCCCCGCCCCCTGCTCCAAGAGATGCCAAACCCACCATTTATACAAAATTGAGTCCCCTTGGCCAAAGGATGCTCCAGACTAAATTAGAATAAAATCCCAAAATCCCTACGGTAGAAGAAGGATTTTAAAGATTTTACCTCTATTTCCCCTAATCGGCCCGCCCCTCTGCCCCAAGGGGTGCCACACCCACCGTTTATACAAAATTGAGTCCCCTTCGTAAAAGGATGCTCCAGACTAATTTAGGATAAAATCCCTTAATCCCTACGGTAGAAGGGGATTTTTAAGGTTATCCTCTATTTCCCCTATTCGGCCCCACCCCTCTGCCTCCAGGGGGGCCACACCAACCGTTTATACAAAATTGAGTCCCCTTGGTATAAGGATGCTCCAGACTAATTTAGGATTAAAAACCCTTAATCCCTACGGTAGAAGGGGATTTTTAAGGTTATCCTCTATTTCCCCTATTGGAACCCGCCCCTCTGGCCCCAGGGGGTCCACACCCAGCATTTATACAGAATTGAGTCCCCTTGGCCCAGGGATACTCCAGTCTAAATTAGAATAAAATCCCTTTATCCTTACAGTAGAAGAAGGGGTTTAAAGGTTTTACCTCTATTTTCCCTATTCGGCCCCGCCCCTTTGCCCCGAGGTGGGCCACAACCACCGTTTATACAAAATATAATTTAAAACATCATTTTTAGGTCAATTACTATAAACGGGGAACTTTTAGCCGCAGTTAAATAAATAGTCCCATTCCCCAGGCGTTACTCTGCTTCACCTTTGTATTAATACGCATTGTAATGAGTTCATATTAAGGATTCCTGTACAACTGCCAAAAACTGTAGCTACGCATGAGGCATTTTTTTCTGACATGATTATACCACTGACAAAGGAATCGTCCCGGGCCAACTGTTCTACTGTGTTATCCAAAAATGAATTCAGCTGGAGGTTTCTGTATATTCGAAAATCCACAGTGGAGTTGGACGGGAATCCTTAAAAAACACAGTGGTAAACATGATGCAGCTAAAACAAGTGTCACGCCAAAAAATTACAACCAAG